TTATGATTCATAACAGTAGCAACATTACAGTTATGAAGTAGCAACAAAAATAATTTTATGGTTGGGTCACAACATGAGGAACTGTATTTAAAGGGCCAGAAGGTTGAGAACCACTGTTCTAGGGGTTACCTGATTCTGAGTCTAGGATGGCTTTGCACCTTTTGAGCTATTTTAAAACTGTGTGTATGGTGGATAACTGATGGCAAAGCAAAATAATTTCTGCTTATAGACAGAAAAATATCTGTCCGGTAAGTTCAACTGACTTCCCTCTCCCACTGTGGAAGAAGCCAGATTTGCCTCTGATTGCACATTCATTTCCACATTCCTGATTTATTAAAGTGTCCATTTCCACATTCCTGATTTATTAAAGTGTCCGGTTAGTGAGGGCACAGTTCTTTATTTTGCCCAAATAAGGAACTATTACCAGGACAATTTTTCATTCACTTCACTTTCTAAACCATGACCATTAATTTATGCATTTAAAATAAATTAGTGATATTATACATTTTCAAAATGCTGTTGGAAATCTCTTCTACCATTATTAATTCCCACTACCAGTAAGACTTCCTTGCTAGCAGAGACTGGAAGCCCTCCCTGGGCTCCCTAGTGCAGGGCACAGTTTACTCTGCTTGGTTCTTCCACCATGAGCTGACTCACTAGCCTGAGGTTATAATTATCCAATTACATGTGTCTTTGTCTCTCCAGAACAGGCACCTTGCTTCCTTCACATTTGTTTCTATGAGTGGACCAGTGGACCGTAATGCTTGGCACATGGTAGCCACATAGTAGTTGCTGTGTAAGAATGTGTCAAGTTTATACTCATGAAATTTGTAAACAGTAAAATTAGAAAACTAAGGGTACAAATTTCTAGCTCTCCATTTGCAAAGCTGTCACTAGGCTGACCTGTCTCCCACAAATACTGAGCTTTAAAAAGTTAATCCTATTTAGACATCTTGTCACTTATGAAACAATAGGGGTCTTTTTTTCCCCAGGTCTATTCTATACAGGGTTAGACTGGAATTAGGTTGATTTAAGAATTATTAAACCAATAGTTAATTAAATACAAAAGGAATTTAAAAGCTAAGGAAACAAGCTTTAACACCCCCCCCTCTCTCTCTATATATACACACACACACACACACACACACACACACACACACACATTTAAATTTAAATTTAAACTGGAAAATTGACCAATTTTAGGAGAGTTCCACAGTAGAACCACAGAGATACAGAACTGAAAACAGTAATCTCTATTGGGCATTTTGGCAAAAACAGGGTATCTAATATCTAGTAGAGACAGGTAGTATAAAATTTCACCCAATCTTTCTTATAGCTTATGGCAGCGGTTCTCAACCTGTGGGTCGCGACCCCTTTGGCGGTCGAACGACCCTTCCACAGGGGTCGCCTAAGACCATCCTGCATATCAGATATTTACAGTACGATTCATAACAGTAGCAACATTACAGTTATGAAGTAGCAACGAAAATAATTTTATGGTTGGGTCATAACATGAGGAACTGTATTTAAAGAGCCAGAAGGTTGAGAACCATTGGCTTATGGGCTATGTGATCAAGAGCTTGCCAACTGGATATAATCAGAAGTGTTGTGTTCAATGTTGAGATATTATTTTTTGTTAGTATTTGTTGTTGTTTTTTCTAATTATTTTTTCCTTTCTCCTTCCTCCTGCCTGAAATCCAGATGGAATGGCTGAGCTCTAGAACAAATGGGCCATAACATGACCTTGGGAATGTAAGCCATACACAGGAAAACAAAAAAATATATAGATACTGAACTGATTTTTTTATACTGCTTGGACATGAGAAAAACTTCTATCTTGTTTGAGCTACTGTTATTTTATATATCATTTGCACCCAAACCTAATCTTAATTGATACAGGATCTTTGATCCTTCACTTTGTTCCTATCTCTGAATTCTCACCAACTTAGGTCTTAGGAATATAAACATGTTACAGCATGAAGATCACATTCTTCATAGTCAGAACATAAGGATTCCAGTCTTGGTGCCTTCAGGCTTTCATCACAGAGTCCTGGGCAATCTCTTGGTGACTCATTGTCATTAAGTGTAATATAGCGATGATGTTGAAAATGAGACCTTCTGGAAGATCTTGGAAGTACTGAGTGATGTCAAATGAGATAACACATGAGAAGGGGCTTGGTAAATCAAGGATTACATGATTTTTAACATTTGCTTCTACTTCTAGGAAGTGAAAAATGAATCATGAGCTTGTTAAATGGAGGAGGAAACAGGGCCACCCAAGAGGAGGCACTGAAAGTGTAGAACTATCATTCATACCAGTGAAATTTCAAAGGAAGAAACTGATAAAAGTATTCTCTAAATAGGAACTAGCTGGATGCTGTCCAAAGAATGTACTCAGTATAGTGCCTGTCCTAAGGTAAGTACTGAAGAAATGTGACTTCTACAATTACCACTATTCCCACCATTACAGCAATAGCAATGGCATCAACACCAGGCAAAGTGGTATCACCAGCATGTTCTTTCCCCATATAGAGACCTCTGTGTCAATCCAGATTAAAATTCTACTGCTTGCAGTCAGAAAAAGGGGAATTACATAATTTGAACATTTAATATGAAAAGACAGAGAGCTTGATACATTCATGACCTTGCCAATGAATCACAATTCTTATAGTTTGCTGTCAAAACAGTGTATGGGTACTTTCAAAGATGACTTTGTTGACTTTTTGTCAATGATTCCACAGGTGGTCCAACTTTAGTTATGTTTCCATGTGGCCTGGGATAAACTTTGCAGGTTGCCTCCATCTCTCACTGTTCACATATAAATTTATGGTTTAATGATGAGGGGATAATCATATGGGTCTTACTTGAAAGTTACCAGTGACTATCTACTGGCTCCCACCTGACTATGTAGAGCTGTGTTACAGATCAGTGCTTCTCAAGCTTAACTGTGTGCCTGGGTCACCTGGCGATCTTATTAAGCTGCAGATTCTGATTCAGTAGCTCTGGGGCAGGACAGAGTCAAAAGTATTACAGCTAACTAAGTGGCAAAGTGGGGATTTAAATTCAGGTTTGTTGTATCCCAAAGGCTATCTCTTTTCCACAATGCTGAAATGCAGAAGTAGAGTGCTGAATAATAAATGAGAGATTGTGTTTAAGCCAAATTATTTAAGATAACTATTATCTGCAATGTTAAAACTTGGAAGTATTGTTTCCTCAGAGAATAAAGAAAAAGGTACACTAAGCTGGGGAAAAGTAACATCATATTTTTTGAGGAAAAGACAATGACGATCTAACAGGATAGAGATGAAGTATGCAAAATAGAGTGAAAAATTATGAAAGACAGATGATAAATACTTACATTCATAAAGAGACTAGTGAGAGCCACAATGTGCCACATTTCCAAAATAATGACCCCAAACATTTATCCAGGGTCTCTGACCATGCAAGCATCTATCAGGTGACAAGACTAGAGAAGATAGCTCCATGACAATGGAGCCCCCACTCCATTTCAGCAGCGTTTTGGAAACCAGCCAGCTCTGCCAGCAGCCATGCAGCCTTCTGAGACTGGCTGTAAGCATGAACTTGTGAGCACGAACAGCTTATAAAATACAAAATGGAAGTTTTCTCTCTATGGTCAGTCCTTACATTTTTGGTCAGTCCTCAAATGAGTCTGGACTGTAAGGGCCAGAGAATTTTCTTTTTGATTCTACATTAAAGGCAGTTTTAACACCCTTCAGAAAGTGTACTCCCTGTGTGTTCTCCATGAGACAATAAAACCCCACTATATTATATCAGGCTGAGGTGCTTTCTGCAGTATTTTACTCTGCCCTTGGCACTGAGTGAGGATTTTGAGAACACGCTGTCCTCTTTATCATTAACTGCAGAAGTTCAGAAGTGCCACAAACACATCTCCAACTTCCCTGATATCCTATTATCCTTCATTCTTTTACATGCTTACAGCCTTCCTGAACTTACTGAGCCAGAATCTGCCAGATTTGGTTTTACCTACCATTTAGAGTTGGAGGTTCTTTTACTAGTCCCGATCTATTTTCAAAGAACTTTTTTTTGTATTTATTTTGTCTTATTTTGTTCATGTATAACCTTCTTGATTAGCATCTAAATTATTATACTGCTTTATAATTATGGTTTAGGTGGTTTCTCTCACACAGGATTGTGTGTGCTTGAAGGGTTAACACTTGTCCTAGATTTTGTCTCACTAGGGCCTAGCATTGTTTCAAGCAAATAGTAGGCATTCAAGATAATACAGGATGAAAACATGAATAAACTCTAGTGCAGACATCTGATCATCACAGCACAGTGAGTCCTCACTTAATGCCATCAATAGGGTCTGTGACTTTAAAGAAAATGACATATAACAAAACCGATTTTACCATAGAATAATTTATACAAACAGGGTTAAGTTCCTACAGAATCTCATCAACATTAGAAGGAAATGACATTGAATGAACCCATGTTATTCAAGGACCTGCTGTATCGTTTATTCAGAAGAATCTAAATAAGAGTTTAGATCAGGGGTCCTCAAACTTTTTAAACAGGGGGCCAGTTCACTGTCCCTCAGACCATTGGAGGGCCGGACTATAGTTTAGAAAAAAAACTATGAACAAATTCCTATGCACACAGCGGCGGCAAAAACACCCGGCGGGCCGGATAAATGTTTTCTGCGGGCCGCATGTGGCCCGCGGGCCGTAGTTTGAGGACCCCTGGTTTATATAGAAGTTCCTTTATCTTTTCTCAGCTTGTTTAATTCTGATATACATAGATTTAGGAAACAATCAATTGAGGGCTTACTTATATTATTCCAACACTGAAATCAATAGACATTTACTGACTGTCTCCTGTGAGCCACAACTGTAAATAAGCTGTAGGATCAGCTCCCAAGATCACACCCTCTATGAGGAAGCTTGTTATCCAGCCCGTGCCTTTTGTACACTTTGAAATAATTAAAAACCAGAATATAACATATATGACATGTCACATACTTGATCAAATTGCAGGTCCTCTCCACGTTGTAGGGATTTCGTCAATGGCTTTTCCTAGAAAGAAGAATATGTATAAGAAAATTAGAGGCTCTTAAATATTACAAGTGAAATGTCATTATTGTTTTAACTTTTCTCATCTATTTCTCCCTTTATGGGATGAAGAGGTGATAGTTTTCAAATGAGTAAGAACTTCCCTTACTATCCTAAACTTAACTCATAGTATTTGATCTTTACTGTTGTATACCTCCTCTTTAACCAAAACATTAGATATCTAATGCTATAAGTTGTACTGCATTTTTCAATGGAAATCACATTATAAAACCATGTAATTCATTTGACAAATTTTAGTACCTATCTTGGGACTTAATAGATAATAAAATGTTGAAAGTGATACACTAGTCCAAGACCCTAGATTTAGAAACAAAACAAAGTCTAATTATCAGGCCAATATTAAGGAATAACCTACAAATCACATGTTTACTAGTAATAATCAGTAAATTTGGGGCACGTTACTTCACTTGCACCACATCTAAATCTCTGAAGAAATAATCTGGATAGTGACAAAGGCCTCCAAAATATTTTGTCCTAATCATTACACCTTTGTTTACATTAGAAAGCTTTACCTCACCTTCTAGCATTTTATAACTATTTATTCTTACCTGTTGGTTTTTATTTTGTTTTGTTTTGTGTGGAAGTTAATACGTATTCAAATCTGGTTTAGCATTAGAAACCATGCAAAAGTTATACATCAAAAAATAATGCTGCACTTAGCCAATGTAGCTGTCTTAGGAAGACTCCAGTTACATTTTGCCAGATAGATCCTCTCCCTGACTCACTTCTCTAACCTTCTCCTTTACTGGAAAATAAATGTTATATACCTAAGGTAGATGTAAGCTCCACCTCACTCCTAGATGCAAGTGCCACCTCCCTAGACTATAAGCTCCAGAAATGCAAGGTCCTCTATTTATTTCTCCCAGCACTTGAAGTTACAGGCAGAGCATTGCTTGGTAATGGTAAAGTGTTTATCACATTAATCCAAGTCTAGGCCAATGACACCCAGTTTCTTTAAATATGAGATCCTCTCATTTGGTGTGTGTGTTTCATTGTAAGTTAAAAAAACATTTTAAGTGTAGAATTCATTGGCATTTGGTACCTTCACAGTTTTTCAAACATCACTATCATCTATTTTATGAGGATTGATTTTAATGTCAAAATTTTTCAAAGAATTTCCTGTCACAAAACATACACTCACACCTCCAAACATAGGTACATAATAACAATTTCATTTTTGTACCCATTATATTTAAAACTATGCATAATGACAGACCTAGTACTATGACTTCAATTATACTTTTATGTATATATTTATTTCTAAATCCTCACCTGAGGATATGTTTCTATTGATTTTAGAGAGAGAGAAGAGTGGGGAGGGGGGAGGAAAAGAAAGAGAGAGATTGAGTGGTTGTCTCCTGCACATGCTCAAGTGGGGATAAAAACCACAACCTAGGTATGTGCTTTGACTGGGACTCGAACCCACAATCTTTTGGTATACAAGGATGACGCTTCAACCAACTGAGCCACCTGGTCAGGCCAATGATACTTTTAAATGGCTTTGTCCTATGATAGCAACAATACTCATTTTATCTACATTAGGGAAATGGTAATACATCTACATGAGAGATCACAGTTTACTTAGCCCAGAGACAGTGCCTGGCATACACGTGGACCTGTAGAACCTTGCATTAATTCAGAAGTCCATACGTTGGGAATTGGTGGTCCTTCATCCACTACCACCTGAAAGGCAAGAGCCTGCCATAGTGGAGGAAGGCAGATGACCATGTCCTACAACACCCTGAAACTTCCCATGCCTAAAAGTTATTTTTCCTCCACTACTAATGGGGTGGGAATGATGATAAATGTGATGTTTTGTGCTTACACATATTTGCATACATATCAAGGAAGCAACATATTGCAAGTTTCTTTAGTAGGCAAAGTTGATATGGTAAGTCGTTACCATACACAAAAGACAAATTCATTAACCAACAACTTGGGTTCAGTGCCTCAATAAAATAATATAGCACTACACTAAGTTTTCCTTAATTATTTTTACACAAATATGCTATCTTTTAAAAAAATTATTTTTATTGATTTCAGAGAGGAAGGGAGAGGGAGAGAGAGATAGAAACATCAATGATGAAAGAGAATCATTGTTCGGCTGCCTCCTGCACACCCCTTACTGGGGATTGAGCCCGCAACCCCAGCATGTGCCCTTGGCTGGAATCAAATCCAAACCCTTCAGTCCATAGGCTGTGCTCTATCCACTGAGCAAAACCGGTTAGGGCGAAATTATACTATTTTAATGATATGAAGACTTAGTTTAAATATCACTTCCCAGATTACGCCCTTCCCATTTTCTCTGGAAGAGTTGCTGATTAGTTGACACATGGCAATTTGATTGCATCTATTCTTGTCAGCATTTCCATGGAGTTGTAACTTGTCCATCTCCCACATCCCTAGTACACAGTTGGAACTCATTATCAGGGTTTGTTAAGTGATTGCACATATCCCTATGCCAGTGGTTCTCAACCTTGGCTGCACATTAGAGTCACCTGGGAATCTTTTTAAAATCCTGATTTCTGGGCCTCATCCTCCGGAAATTCTGTTTCTTTGTTATGGGGTGGGGCCACAACAAAATTAATAAAACACACACACACACACACACACACACACACACACACACACACACACACAAAAATCAAGTCTGAATCTGATCAAGCCTTTTGAAATAATTTCTAATTTTTAGGAAATATAGGAGTTAGAAGGAGCTAGAGGAATGTTATACTATACCCCAGGAATGCAATCAGCAAAATCCAGCCCAAAGGAAAATAAATGAAAGACATTTCTTCAATAAAGAAGTTGCAAGGGGGAGATAAGAGAAATTGGGGGAGATTCTATTGATTTTTTAAAAAGGCTATTGCAATGTGTGGCTCTTATCTGAATACTGATTCAAACTATCTGCTTTTAAAAAGTATGATGTTTATGAGACCTTTGGCAATTTGAACACTAATTAGATATTTGATGATGTTAAGAGGTTATTGTTGCCCTGACTGGTTTGGCTCAGTGGATGGAGCGTCGGCCTGCAGACTCAAGGGTCCCAGGTTCGATTCCGGTCAGGGGCATGTACCTTGGTTGCGGGCACATACCCAGTGGAGGGTGTGCAGGAGGCAGCTGATCGATGTTTCTCATCGATGTTTCTGACTCTCTATCCCTCTCTTCCTCTCTGTAGAAAATCAATAAAATATATTTTTTTAAAAAAAGAGGTTATTGTTAATTTTATAGGTGTGGCAATGGTATTGCAGTTTTATTTTAAAAATAATCATTATCTTTTAGAGATACATGCTGAAATACTAAAATGATATGATTACTAGTATTTCAAATACTACTGGGGGGAGGTGCAAGTAGTGTACGACAAACTGGTCATGAGTTGACAATTGTTGAAGACGATCATAGGGATCATTATGTTGTCTTTCTACTTTATTATTTATTTATTTGTTTGTTTATTTTTCTTTATTGATTAAGGTATTACATATGTGTCCTTAACTCCCCATTGTCCCCCTACACCTCCCGCTCATGCCATCACCCCCCTGTTGTCTGTGTCCATTGGTTATGCTTATATGCATGCATACAAGTCCTTTGGTTGATCTCTGCCCCTTACACCCACCCTCCCCTACCTTCCCTCTGATGTTTGAGCATCTGATTGATGCTTCAATGTCTCTGGATCTGTTTTTGTTCATCAGTTTCTGTTGTTCATTATATTCCACAAATGAGTGAGATCATGTGATATTTATCTTTCTCTGACTGACTTATTTCGCTTAGCATAATGCTTTCCAAGTCCATCCGTGCTGTTGCAAATGGTAGGAGTTTCTTCCTTTTTACAGCAGCATAGTATTCCATTGTGTAGATGTACTTCCGTTTTTTAATCCATTCATCTGCTGATGGGCACTTAGGCTGTTTCCAAATCTTAGCTATGGTGAATTGTGCTGCTATGAACATAGGGGTGCATTTATAATTGGTGTTTTTAGTTTCTTGGGATATATTCCTAGAAGTAGGATCACTGGGTCAAATGGGAGTTCCATTTTTAGTTTTTTGAGGAAACTCCATACTGTTCTCCACAGTGGCTGCACCAGTCTGCATTCCCACCAGCAGTGCACGAGAGTTCCTTTTTCTCTGCATCCTCGCCAGCACTTGGCATTTGTTGATTTGTTATGATAGCTATTCTGACAGGTATGAGATGGTACCTCATTATTGTTTTGATCTGCATCTCTCGGATGATCAGTGACTTTGAACATGTTTTCATATGTCTCTTGGCCTTCCTATGTCCTCTTTTGAAACTAAAACCATTTCACCTAAGTACAGGAACAAGACAGGGATGCCCCCTTTCACCACTCCTGTTCAACATAGTACTGGAAGTGCTAGCCATAGCAATTAGACAAGAAGAAGAAATAAAATATATCCAATTGGAAAAGAAGATGTAAAACTGTCATTATTCATAGATGACATGATACTGTACATAGAAAACCCTAAAGACTCCATCAAATAATTATTGGACTTAATAAATGAATTCGGCAATGTAGCAGAGGATACAAAATTAACGCCAAGAAATCTATGGCATTTTTATACACCAATAGTGAATTTACAGAAAGAGAGATTTAAAAAAAATCCCATTTATCATTGCACCAAAAAAATTAAGATACCTAGGAATAAACTTAACTAAGGAGGTAAAAGACCTGTACTCAGAAAACTACAGGGCACTGAAAAAAGAGATAGAGAAGACATAAATAGATGGAAGAACATACCATGTTCATGAATTGGTAGAATCAACATCATTAAATTGTCCATACTACCCAAAGCAATCTATAGATTCAATGCAATCCCCATTAAAATACCAATGGCATATTTCACAGACCTAGAACGAACTCTCCAAAAATTCATCTGGAATAAAAAAAGACCCCAAATAGCTGTAGCAATCCTGAGAAGAACAAAGTAAGAGGGAT